GGGTTTTGTCACATTTTTCTGTAGAAATTTGGTGTATTTGAGGGGCCTGTCTTGTCTTAAAGTAGCCCATTTAGTTGTTCTTGTAACCATGGTTTTGAGTCTATGAAGTTCCTGAGCTGTTGTTTGTGAAACTGTGTGTTGTTTCTTCTGTTATGAATGAGAGTCTCGCTGGGTAAAGTATTTTTGTGAGGCATTTATTTCATTGAGTTTTTTCACTATATCCTACCACTGTTTTCTGGCCATGAGGGTTTCATCAGACACATCAGCTGTGAATCTTTTTTTTTTTTTATTTTTTATAATTTATTTCTTTATTGAATCACTGTGGGAAAAGTTACAGAGCTTTCGGGTTTAGGTCTCAGTCATGTAAATATCAAACACATTTCCCCTTACCAATACTTATTTTTAACCGCGAACCCCAATAGAACCCCACCTCCCACCCCTCCCAATTCCTGTGAGGCAGATGAGTTCTAGTTAATACTCCATCTACTTTGACTAGATACATTGTTTTGATAGAAGATGCACCATTATTGTTTAGAGTTTACAACCCCCCCTCCCCCAATCAGACATGCTGAAACAGCGTTATGAAATGATTTGCTTTCTACAGCTGGGTTTAAGAAAAAATCATGTTGTGCGGTCGCAATAGCGGCCGTGCGGTTCTGGATTTCTGCTATTTTACTTATTAACCCTGGAAGTATTTCTATTAAAAGTTAGATAGTTAAGAGATTGGTTTCTGTGCTCTGGGGCCGTGGCCGTGCCGGAGAGCCGCTCATGGGGGGCAGCTGGTGACCTCGGTCGGGCGTGAAGAACGGACCAGATTGCCCCGCTTCCCATGAGGTCCCTGCCGCCCCCACCCCGGCTCAGACCTGCTGTCCACAAGGCTCCCGTGCGGCCGCCATCTTTCTTTCCAGAGAGGCCAGGGCGAATGGAGCAACACCCTTTCCCCTCTGGGCAGGCATGCTGGCGCGGTTTAACACATAGTCCATTTGCTTTCAGCTGTGAATCTTAAGGATGCTCCTTTATAGGAAATTTCTTTCTTTGATCTTGCAGCTTTCAGAATTTTGTCTCTATCTAAGGTTTTGGTCATTTCGATCAGGATGTGTCTTGGGGTATTTTTATTTGGATTGCTCTACCTGGTACCCTTTGAGCCTCCTGAATGTGGTCACATGTTTTCTTCAGTTCTGGAAATGTCATAGCAATGATGTCTTTGACAGTTTCTTCTTCATCAGGGTTTTCTTTCTTGTCCCTCTGGGACTCCAGTAATTCTTATGTTACTCCTCTTGGCTTCATCACGATCTTTTTTTGCCATCTGTTCCCGGGTTGTGAGTCTCTTTTCCATTTTCTGCTCTTTTCTGGAGAGTCTCTGGAATTCATCTTAGAGCTCACTGATTCTGTCCTGAGCAGCTGTTACTCTCCTGCTTAGGTCTTCCACTGAGTTTTTCATTTCGCCTACCAGGTCTTTCAGGTCTGACATTTCTGTTTGTAATTTTGTTTGCATTTTCCTCATTTCTACATTCAAATCCTCTTGTCTTTTATTGGCATTGCTTTCTACTGTTTCTTTTAGCTCCCTAAGCATCGTCAGTAGCTCCCTTCTAAATTCTTTGTCAGAGGGGTTGTCTAGCACTTCATTACTGTTGAGGTCTTCTGGGCTAGCCTCTTCAATAAGTGAGCTTGGTGGGCTTCTGTGTTGCTTTACCATTGTGACCTGTGTGGTTTAGACCTTCATGCTTACTGATACTATTCTGCTTATGATGTAGAATTAACTGAGATTGGCTTAATTATTGGCTAATGTGTTTCTGGTGAAAGTTCCATCTAAAAGGGTAACTTATGGTTCCTATGGGATATGTAGGGGGAGAATAACTCGCAGCCGCATTAGCGGCTGTGGCTCTGGGAAGGGGCCCTGTCGCTGGGCGGGTACCTGGATGAGTGAGCAGAGGGTACCCGGAACGGTTCAGCTTTGTGTGCACAGTGTGCCTCAATTCCCTTCTCCCGCATACCAAGGATGAAGACTGGCCATTCTCAGGGGGTCTGGTTAGAAGCACAGTGCCTGGAAGGGGCCCTGACGCCTGGCGGGTACCTGGATGAGTGGCAGTAGCGTTTGTTTTTAAAAGTATTATAGCCATATTTCATTTTGCTTTTAGAAGCATATTAAGTCTAGACATAAAGTAGTCTAGTGCCATATTGATAGCACAGCGGCAGGGCGTTCGCCTTACAAGCGGCCAACATGGCCGACCCGAGTTCGATTCCTCCACCCCTCTCGGAGAGCCCGGCAAGCTACCGAGAGTATTTGATATGCCAGACACAGTAACAACAAAGTCTCCAATGGAGACGTTACTGGGCCCGCTCAAGCAAATCGACGATCAACGGGAGGGCCTTTACCTTTTACCTTTACTGTTTTTACATACAGTCCTGTTATACTATATTCACTTCTAGAGTATCAAAATCCTCCTGCCATTAGCCCAAGATCCCTGCTCCTCACTGTGCCTTCCTTGGAATGAATCTTTTACTTTAAATCTTCAATTTAAAGTGAAAACAATTTTACAAAGTTGGGCTTTCCCATAAGGGGTTGAGAGCTCCATTTAAAAAACTTGGCTTTCCACAGATGCAAAGATCCTCAACAAACTACTAGCAAATAGAATCCAACTACTCATTAAAAAGATCATACACCATGACCAAGTAGGATTCATCCCAGGGATGCAAGGATGGTTTAACATTCGGAAATCAATCAACATAATCCACCATATCAACAAAAGAAAAGATAAAAAGCATATGATCATATCAATAGATGCAGAGAAAGCATTTGATAAAATCCAGCACCCCTTTATGATGAAAACCCTAGCCAAAATGGGTATAGAGGGGACCTTCCTCAACATAATCAAAGCCATCTACCACAAGCCTACAGCAAGCATCATCCTCAATGGGGAAAAACTGAGAGCCTTCCCTCTAAGATCAGGGACGAGACAGGGATGCCCACTCTCTCCACTGCTGTTCAATATAGTACTGGAAGTACTTGCAATAGCGATTAGGCAGGAAAAAGATATTAAGGGCATTCAGGTAGGAAAGGAAGAAATCAAGCTCTCACTATTCGCAGATGATATGATACTCTACTTAGAGAACCCAATAACTTCCACCAAAAAACTCCTAGAAACAATAGACTCGTATAGTAAAGTTGCAGGTTATAAAATCAATACCCAAAAGTCCATGGCTTTCCTATACGCAAACAGTGAGAGAGAAGAAAGCAACATGAAAAAAACAATCCCATTCACAATTGTGCCCCAGAAAATCAAGTACCTAGGAATCAGCTTAACTAAGGAAGTAAAGGACCTGTACAAAGAAAACTATATCCCAGAGAGGCAAAAATGTATAGTCGAAGTGACATCTGCACTTGTTTGTTCATTGCAGCACTCTTTACAATAGCCAGAAACTGGAAGAAACCTGAATGCCCAAGAACAGATGACTGGTTAAAGAAACTTTGGTACATCTACACAATGGAGTACTATGTAGCTCTTAGAAAAGATGAAGTCATGAAATTTACATACAAGTGGTACAATATGGAAAGTATCATGCTAAGCGAAATGAGTCAGAAAGAGAGGGATAGACATAGAAAGATTGCATTCATCTGGGGGATATAAAGTAACAAAGTATGAGATTAATACCCAAGAATAGCTGAGATCAGCACCAGGAGGATTACTCCATAACTTAGAGGCCAGCCGGGTATCCTAGAGGAAAGGGCTGTTCAGATAGAGAAGGGAGCACCAAATAAAGGATGTTTGGAGGATCCTCCCAGGAGGGGAGATGCATGTCGAAAGTAGACTATGGACTGAACATGTTTGCCACTCAATGCCTCTTTTGCAGACCACAACACCCAAAAGGAGAGAGAGAACTCAGGGGATTGCCCTGCCACAGAGACAGGGGGGATGGGGGGATGGGGGTGGGAGGGATATTATCCATGGTGGTGGAAAATGGGCACTGGTGGAGGGATGGGTATCTGATCATTGTATAATTGAAACCAAAGCACAAAAAATTGTAAATCTACAACTTTAAAAAAAATAAAATAAAATAAAGGGAAAAAAAAAAAACTTGGCTTTCTTGGTTTAGCCCTTTTGGAAAACAGTATGGACGATCCTCAAAAAATTAGAAATTGAGCTCCCACTTGACCCAGCAATACCACTCCTGGGAATATATCCCAGAGAGGCAAAAATGTATAGTCGAAGTGACATCTGCACTTGTTTGTTCATTGCAGCACTCTTTACAATAGCTAGAATCTGGAAAAAACCTGAGTGCCCGAGAACAGATGACTGGTTAAAGAAACTTTGGTACATTTAGACAATGGAGTACTATGTAGCTGTTAGAAAAGATGAAGTCATGAAATGCATATACAAGTTGTACTACATGGAAAGTATCATGCTAAGCGAAATGAGTCAGAAAGAGAGGGACAGACATAGAAAGATTGCATTCATCTGGGGAACGTAAAGTAACAAAATAGGAGACTAACACCCAAGAATAGCCGAGATAAGTACCAGGAGGATTACTCTATGACTTTGAGGCCAGCTGCACACGCTAGGGGAAAAGGCAACTCTAATAGAGAAGGGAGCACCAAATAAAGGGTGTTGGGAGGTTCCTCTCAGGATGGGAGATGTGTGATGAGAGTAGACTATACACCGAACATGATTGCTACTCAATGTCTATTTTGTGAACCACAGCACTCAAAAGGAGGGAGATAACACAAGGGAATGCCCTGCCACAGAGGTAGGGCGGGATGGCAGGTATGGGGGGTTGGGGGGGATACTGGAACTGGTTGTGGTGGAGAATGGGCACTGGTGGAGGGATAGGTATTCAATTACTGTATAATTGAAACCCAAGCACAAAAATTTGTAAGTCTACAACTGTACCTCATGGTGTTTCACTAATAAAAACTTAAGGAAAAAAAATAAAAAACTTGGCTTTCCATAATAAGAAAGTGTTCCATTAATTTTTTTTGTATGTTGTGCTTTATTTTGTAGGTACCAAAGACTCTTGGATTATTACGCATGTTAAGTGTTAAATTTTACACTCGTCAGGGACAAGATCAGGTAATCCAAATTAGACTAATCTGTGCTTCTCAGCATTTTCTTTTTATGGGTGGGGTGGGGGGTTTTGGGTGGTTGTTTGGGAAGCACACCTGGCAGTGCTCAGGGCTTGCTCCTGGCTCTGTGCTCAGAGATCATTCCCAGTGGGCTGAGGGAATCATGTGGGACACCAGAGATTAAACATGGTCAGCCACATGCAAGGCAAATGCACTATCTCTCTGGCCCCAGAGTTCTTGGACATTTTCCCCAGAGTTCCTTTAAGGGTAGAATTGATCTTCAATCTTAGAGCTCTTCACGCTTATGTGCCCTTAGTTATATGTATTGGTAAAATAAGTTTATAGGTAAAATAATTTTAAACATCTTGCCAGTGCATAAAATTATTTTATGCGTTGGTAAGAATTCATGGAGCTGTGCATTGAAAATTTATGTATTTTACTGTATATAAATTTAATTTAAATTAAAAACGTGAAAAGTTAGAGGATGACCCTGAAATTCCTGGCTCCGAGAAAATAGTCCAAAGGAGATTCCTGGAAGACTCTCAAGTTTCTTAGTTATCTTACTTAGGAAGTTTTTGATGGGAGCCAAGCCCCTGGGTGGTGTGCAGGACTTGTTACTAGGTTTGTGCTCAAGGATCACTCCAGACCAGGGGCAGAGAACCCTGGGATCAAACTTGGATTGGCCGTGTAGAAGGCAAATGCCTTACTTGCTGTATTGTATGTATCTCTGACCCACTTTAAGGAATTGATATCCTTGTCAATGATAAATCCATTTTTTAAAAAATATCCTCCCTAAATCTGAATCTATTGATGCACTAATAGAAAAAGAGGCATATTGGTGGTACCTTCAAGTATTATTGCTCTACTCTTGTTCTCGGATGACAAGAATATAACAGTTTCACCCTGAACTGAAAATACACTTAGGAACTGCCCTGATGGGAGTGATCATACTCACCGTGCACATGGATCAGTGTCTGATCACCAGGGATGTATTTCAGTGGTGGAGTGGTGTATATCTCACAGTGATTCAATTAAAAAAATTTTTTTTAAAAGAAATAAAACCCTCTCTGTCAATAACATACTATACACAAAAATCCCAAAGACTTTGCCAAGCCCTATTATAAGAAGTGAATACTGTTGGAGGATACAAAATCAATGTTTAAAAAAAAAACTGCAGTTTGCACACAATAGCAAGCTACGAGAAAGAGAAATGAAGAAGGAGAACAATTTCATAATAAACATCACAGTGGAAGGTATTTAAATTTCTGCTTGAAGTACTTCTGTGTGACTCCTCTCTGCCAAGCATTTGTATTTGAATCTTTCTTATATTTCTAATTCTGGCATTCTGGGATGGATCTGATATAAAGCCACTTAATTTAAATCCCCAGTGAGGAGATTGAAGGGTTTTAATCTTTCATACGTTCATCCATCCAAACAGTTTTACTTACTCCTATAATTGTCCTGTTTGTTTTTGGGGATTAATGTGGCCAGACCTTAGGACTTAAAGTCTGTTGTCTGCAAGAGGTATTGAGCCAGGTTTAAATTTTGTCTTTTTCAGTAGTCAAATTTTCAGTTTAGGAGCAGATAGCCTTAATCTTTGCGGGATGGTGGGAGCTTCCAGATTTTCTAAATGTTCTTATGAACTATGTGGTTGTGGCCTGTCATTTTCTGCTCTCTCTTTTACTCTTTGCCAGTAAACTGCCTTAGACCCTATCCTTAATCAGTGCTTGAATGGGGCTAGTTAGATGTCTAGTATTCTGTTTAGTAGGTGCTGGGGATGACCTGTGATTTCTTTCATTGTGACAATTGAGTTACCTAATACTCCAACAGGAAAGAACTGAGAAGTTACTTGGATAACTAGCACTGTAGCACTGTCCTCCCATTGTTTTGCTTGAACGGGCACCAGTAATGTATCCATTGTGAGATTTGTTGTTACTGTTTTTGGCATATTGAAGCTCCACAGAGAGTTTGCCAGGTTCTGCTGTGCAGGTGGGCGGGATACTCTCGGTAGCTTGCTGGGCTCTCAGAGAGGGATGAAGGAATCGAAACTGGGTCGGCCGCGAGCCCTACCTGCTGTGCTATTGCTCCAGCGTTACTTGGATAAGTAGTGCGTGTATAAGTATTACTCCAGTATTACTTGGATAAGTAGTACTAAGTATATGAGGATTTTGTTTTTATACCCTTGGGTTAGTCATATGATATATTGCAAATTTTCTCTATTTGGGGCCTTTTTTTTTTATGGTGGGAAGGATGATTTCATTTTTCAGCATTTTTTTTTCTTTTTGTTGTTTAGATTGAATTTTGTTGATTTGCCACTGGTTTGCAATACTGTAGAGATGTTGCAAATACAGCTGTGTGTTGCAGTATGCCTCTCTAACTCACTGCTTCCAACACAAGGTCCTACTGCTTCTATACTCTCAAATTGACTCCCTTTCCACAAGTATCTCATATCCACCTTCTACTTCCCCTTTGGCAATCACTATTTTTCTGCGTCTTGTTCATTTGCTTTATTTATATTCCACAAATGATTCGTGAAGTGGTGTGGTCATAGTTTTTCACTTTCTGACTTAAAGCTGTTAGATTCTTCAAATGGGGTAATTTGTTAGCAAAGTGACAAATATTAAACATTCATCACGTACTTTTAATGATGGAATACATTTTCTTTCCACTTTACTGCCATCAGTTCCTCTTAGACTCTCTGTCTCCTTCTCTCTCTTCTTTTTTCTTCTTTTCTTTCTTTTCCATATGAGGTTGTGTCCTATGATATGCAGAATGTTCCAGATATTATAAAATCTAACAAAGATGTAGATTCACCATTCAGAATCTACTTAATATTAACCTGTAGGATAACATTGATTTGTCCTTTCTGCCTTGCCACAGGGAGCTTAGGTTTATTGGGTTACTGCCATCACATTGCTCCCATTCCTCTGTGTTTATTTGTAACTTCTTTCTTTGTGCTCTGTTGACTTGTAAATATTGTTTTTCTCTTCTTCTTAAATCCTTTGTATAGTTAATTCATAGCAATGTCCTTTCTGTATGGACACAAAAAGACAGCTAATGCTATGCTTTTGTAACGTGGGGAGTTAATTGATTCTCAGTAATATTTACCTCCTGGGCATCTGTTTTCTCCACTTCAGCCTCAGTTGCCCTTACTTCCTAGCACCCCCAAAGCAGGGTCCTCACGAGGGACTAGGTGGGCCCAGGGCAAGCTGTGAGCTATGTGCTACCATGGCATCGAAATGGGCCAGGTCAAAGTGCCATAATACTTAACTGTAAGTTAAGACCATGGTCATGGACAAATTCTGTCATGATCCAAAAAGTAATAACTAGATTCGGACCCTGTTAGGAAAGATTAATCTGGCCTGAGCACTGTAGTCTGAGTCTGTGGCTAGATGTTCCCAGGAGAGCCACCCTACAAGCTCAATGTATCTCTTACTGTGTCCATACAAAATAACTAATATTAAGAAGTACAATTGAGATGTTAATTAAGTTACTGGACTGAGGAGAAGAGGAACACCCATAGGTGTTCCTCCGTCTGCCCCATGGCCTGGGCTGCCCTGGGTAGAGGAGCTGCCTGAGCCCACCAAATGTGGACGGCGAGAGGGAGAGCCACCAGGGCTTCCTTAGCAGCTCAGAAATTATACATTAACCCATAAAATGTATTATAACACATGACAATTGAAATGTGACATAAAGGAACATTTCCATATTTGTTTTTGGGTTATAGATATGTTTTTAATCAATACCGATGAAAATAATACTCCTTTTGGGCTGGAGTAATAGTGCAGTGGATAGGGCCCTTGCCTTGCACACAAATGACCCGGGTTCCATCCTGGACACCGCATACGGTCCCCTGAGCACCACCAGGCGTTATCCCTGAGCACCAAATCGGGAGCAAGTCTTAAGTAGTGCCAGATAGGACCTCCCCCTGAAAACAAACAAATGGAAAACAGAAGAAAATCTTCCTTTGAGATGAGACTTCTGTTTTTATAAACAGGGGGAATTTATAGTTTTGTGAAGCTGTTTAAGCCTTTAATCACGAGGGATCGTTTATGACCTAGTCTCTGTGGTAAAGTTAGTCCGTACTGGAAGTAGTTTCTTTTTGACTCCAATCCCTTGCTCTGTTCCTAACAGTGTCTGATTCTTGTATAGGATGGGATCTTCAAGATGAGCATTTCTCCAGATGGGACCCTTCTCGCTGCCATTCACTTCTCAGGGAAACTGAGCATCTGGGCTATCCCGTCTTTGAAGCAGCAAGGAGAATGGAATCAAAATGAGCAGGTATTTATTTCATCTCATTTTTTTTCTGTGGTGCTATTGGTCAAATGGGGGAGAGACATGCAGTCTGCCAGTGAGCCATGATCAGACCTAAGCAGGATTGTCTTTTGATCATGATTGTTCTTAAAATGATTCCTGTTTAAGTGCAATTATTGGCAATGCTAATTTCACTTTGTTAATTTTTACTCTTTGCGCACAACTGTTATTTTTTCTAATAACTCTAAGGAGTTAAACCATAATATATGTATAATGGGGCAAATTAAGAACAGAGTAGTGCTGTGTACTGATTTTAATTTGTAATGCAGTACTGTATACCAAGTCCAGTCTGCCCTTTGACCTCTTCACTTTTTCTTTTGTTTCGTTCCAAATTATAAAATAGGATGTTAGTTTTTCAGCAGTGGTCAACAAAATGAATCAAAGCTTTGGAGAATTGGTATCCTGAGAAAGTTACTATGGTCTCCCAGTGCAGCAACACTGTAGAGTGGCCTTATATTTTAGATTTGAAGAGAATTGTCTTTTCTCGAAAGAGCAGATTGTGAGCACATAGAAGTTAGAACTGTTTGAGATGACTGGCTTTAAGAATGAAATGATTCAATTTACTTGCAAATAGAATTACTGTTATATCTAAAATCGTGATGGGCAAGTAATGTCTATTTTTATAATGGCATGCGTTATGAAATAACAAGTGACAGAGGAAAGATGTAAAGAAATATATTCTGTTTGCTTTTGGGCCACACCTGACTGTGCTCAGAAGATACACCTGGCTTTGAACTCAGGGGACCATATGTGGTACCGGAGAACTAACCTGTGTCAGTGGCATGCATTGCAAGATTTATTCTTATTTTGGTTGAAGCATCTTAATTACAAATGACAAAGATATTCATGATTGAGTTTCAGGCATACAGTGTTTCATCACTAGTCCCTTCACCTGTGTTCCCTGTGCTCCACCTGTGTCCCCAGTTTCCCTCCTATCCCCTAGCTTGCCTCGGTGGCAGGCTCTTTCCTCCTCCCCCATTGTCCTAATGTGTTCCCTTCCCTAATTTACCCCCCGGTCCTTCCCCAGTGCCAAGCTTCCCACTGAAGCCAGTTCTCTGGCTCTTTGTTTCTATTGACTTCGCATATTTGATATTCTCCCGGAGCGATAGCACAGTGGGTAGGGCGTCTGCCTTGCACGCAGCCAACATGGCCGACCCGAGTTCGATTCCTCCGCCCCTCTCGGAGAGCCCGGCAAGCTACCGAGAGTATTCGATATGCCAGACACAGTAACAACAAAGTCTCCAATGGAGACGTTACTGGGCCCGCTCGAGCAAATCGATGATTTGATATTCTCCTAGGACATTTCTTTATATCCCGTATATGACAGAGATTGTTTTGGGTCCGTTCCCCTCCCTCTGACTGACTTCACTTGACATGACACTCTCCAGCTCCATTCACATAGCAGCAAATTGCATGGCTTCATCTTTTCTTACGACCAAGTAGTATTCCATTGTGCATATATGTATCATAGTTCTTTATCCAGTTACCTCTTCTTGGATACTTGGGTTTTTCCAGATTTTGGCTACTGTGAATAGTGCTGCAGTGAGCATGGGGGTGCAGATGTCTTTTCTGCATTGTGGTAAAGCAAAATTTTTTTTTTTATTTAAAAAAAAAAAGAGAGTATAAAACTCAGCTCCTGGACATCTTATTATCTAGTTCTTACTCTGGAGAACCTGACAGGCTACCAAAAGTATCCTGCCCACACACAGAGTCTGTCAAACTCCCCTTTGCGCATTCAGTATGCCAAAAATCAGTAACAGTAACAATGATGGGTCTCATTCTCCTGACCCTGACAGAGCCTTGAATGTGGTACTTTCTAAAATCTCAGGGCTAGGACGAAGGAGACCTTACTGGTGCCTGCTGGAGGAAATCAATGAACAACAGGATGACAATAATACAGTGATATTTAAAAAAATTTTTTTCCCCCTTACACCTTATATAAACACTCTGGTTTACAAAGTTTACTGATTTATGACGATTTGTTGTAGACAGAAATCCCACCACCATTTCAACTTTCCTGCCACCGTTATCTCCAGTTTTCTCAAATACCCCTTAGGCCTGTCCCCATAGCAGGCCCTCAGTGATTTATTTTATATTGCTTGAAATTTGCTAAAAAAGTGATCAAGAAATGTTTCCTCAGAAGAAAGTTAGTGGAGATTGTGTATCTCACCATTGAGCTATTAAGCCCTTGTACACGAGTTTGCTAAGATGTAATTGCAGGTTAAGCCTTCTGTAATATTTTGTCAGTCGAGATCGGATGCCTTCTATATTCCGTTTCATCCAATCTGGTGTGCTACTCCTGATTTATCCGTGTTGGAGAATTTGAGATGTTGATAAAGCCAAATTCTTTACTGCTTGCTCTCTTTCAGCCATAAGAAATACATTCTTATTCTTTTGTTGTTGTTGTTTTTGGGCCACATCCAGTGGTGCTCAGGGCTTATTACTCCTGGCTGTGCTTAAGAATCACTCCTGGCAGGGCTCAGGGACCATATGGGATAGTGGAGATAAAATACAGGTCAGCCACATACAAAGCAAGGATCCCCCCCCGCCCCCCGCCCCCCGCCCCAACTGCTATACCATCTCTCTGACAGCGCAAGAAATATAATTTTAAGGGATACAGCTTACATTGTGAATATTTCACTCCTCTGATGACTACTTTGCATTTCAGCAGTTTCAGGATTGCCTCTTTTTCTCACTTCCGTTCTCCTTTCCTTATGGCAAAGGCAGTCATGACTATTTTGAGTTCTAAGATTGAATTATATTCCATTATTAGGTGGAATGGATTAATGCTTTTTTTTTTAGTAGCATTCTTTTAAATTTCATCAGTTAAATGTACTTTTAAACCAGATCCTTTTGGGGTAGGTGCCACACAGATTTGGTGGACTGTGTGCTGCCAGGGTTAAACCTGGCACTCCTGCATGGAGTGTGTGCATTCCTGTCCACTAAACCATCCCTTGGCCTCAAAAGACATTTTTTTGAACTAAAACTTACCTTCCCTCCACTTTGTTTAAACACTGTGTGTTGCATGAAGTGATATATCAGTCAGTCAGAGGTGCTGAGACAATACTTAGTGGTAGGAATTATGGAAGCATGGAGGATCAAGGCATCGCTCAGGTTCATGACAAAGAGTGGATGCCAGAGACCTCCTTTTATTCTATTTTCTATCAACACTATTTCAGTAACTTCATGTCAGAAGAAAAGATCATTAACAAGAGTGCAAATGTCACTGTCATTGTCACTGTCCTGCTGTTCATTGATTTTCTTGAGCGGGCCCAGTAACGTCTCCAGTCTCCATTGTGATACTTAGTTGCTACTGTGTTTGGCATATCGAATACATCACGGGTAGCTTGCCAGGCTTTGCTGTGCGGGCGAGATACTCTTGGTAGCTTGCCGGGCTCTCGGAGAGGGGCAGAGGAATCGAAATGATTATGAAATAAGCATTCACCCAAAGAACATCAAGATTCACCAGAAGAACATAAAGGTATACATTGTCTTGTCAAAGCTATGATTAAAATACTCAGAGAAGTGGAGACTGGAGTGATAGCACAGCAGGTAGGGCATTTGCCTTGCACGCAGCTGACCCGGGTTCGATTCTCAGCATCCCATATGGTCCCCTGAGCACCGTCAGGAGTGATTCCTGAGTGCAGAGCCAGGAGTAACCCCTGTGCACCGCCGGGTGTGACCCAAAAGGAAAAAAAAATACTCAGAGAAGGATATGGAGCCAGACACCTAAGTCCCACATTCTCATGGTTGGTTACACAAAGGGTAAAGAGAATGTTCATACTTAAAGGTCAAACCAGATTAAAGATGTGTAGGAGAGGGGGAAACTGCTGCTTTGTTCCACTGCCAGGATGATGTATAACTAGATAGGCACATGAGAGCATGCTGTGTTTTTCCAGGTCAATCGGACTCATAAGCCTTAGCTTGCCCACTTAACTCAAAGTGGGACTTTGGTTCTGCTTCCTGCTCGCAGAGCTGCGTCCAAAAGCGCATCCTAATGTCCTGGCTTAGCACCAACAACTGTGGTTTACAAAATTGTTCATGATGTATTTGTTACAGGTATTCAGTATTCCAATGCCAGTCCCACCACCATTGACACCTTCCCTCTATCATTGTCTCCATTTTCCCAACCACCGCTCACGCCTGCCCACAATAATTTATTTTATATTGCTTACCAATAATTTATTGCCCACAATAATTTATTTTATATTGTTACCAGTAAATGACTAATGGAGCGATCAAAAAAATATGTCAGTAAAAGAAAATTTATAAAAATTGTTGTATCTCACCATGGGAACATTAAGTCCTTGTCTGAGGGTTTATTAAGCCGTTGTTGCAAGTTAAGCCGTCTGTGTTAATGATTTTGTTAGTTGAGATTGATTGGCTTTTCTGTTACATTTCCAGCCAGTCTGGTGGGCTCTCACTGGGATGTTAGTATTGCAGAGTTTGGAGTCGTTGCTCTAGAAAATCTAGAATATATAGCTGGGCAGTTCGGCCAGAGGCATGGTGGCAGCTGCGGGGTGTGAGTGTGGCTGTTTGGGCTTTGGTTGGGTGGGATCTTGGCCCACCACCTTCCTGAGGGTGCCCTAGCGGTTTTAGCCAGACAGGGTATCTGAAAAATTTTTGTCGCTATTTGTTCTCTTTTGAGATTTAATTCTGAGTGTCTGGAATGGGCCAGTGGATAAGCTTACATGATGGCTGCAGTGGGACATGGAATCCTTAAAAGGATTAATTATTATTATTATTTTTTTTATTGAATCACTGTGACTTACAAAATTAGAAGTTATTTATGATTGAGTTTCAGGTGTACAGTGATCCAGTACTAATCCCTTCATCATTAAAATGTTTTATTTATTTATTCATTTATTTATTTTTTTTTGCCACACCTGGTAGTTCTCAGCATTTACTCTTGGCTCTATATTCAGGGATCACTCCTGGCAGTGCTGGAGGGACCATGCATGGTCCTG